ACACTGCCAAGAAACTAAATCTACCAAGGAAAATGACACTCCCAAGAAACTAAACTACCACGGAGAATGACACTCCAAGAAACTAAATCTACCAAGGAGAATGACACTCCAAGAAACCAAATCAGCCAAGGAGAATGACACTCCAAAGCACAACACAAATCTCACACTTCTACTAAAAAATACCAAATAAGGAGACTGACACTCCATGAACACAAATCATACTGCAACTTAGGAGAATGAAACTCCAAGATTCATAGAAAGAATGACACTTTCTTCTTTAAATTGACAAGAAAACTAATACTTGCAGAGATCAACACATCAAGACCACAGCTTCACTTCAATTAAACCTCGAAAGTACATCAAAGACCACAGCTTCAACAAACACCCAATGTCTTTACCAGATCAACAGAATCGCAGAAACTCCCACACATTGTTGATGCAGAAAGAATAACACTGTCTTGAAAGATTGACACTTTCTTGACTACAAAACTTCGTATTTCTACACATCAACATATCCAATACAATATATACAGATGAACACAAACACCCAAATCAACACATATATCCCAGATCAATCAGAAATATCCCACTTCAACATCTTGAGAATTTAGCAAAAAACAGAGAACAATGGTAGAAAGATCAGCAGAGAAGAAGAAGAGGACTTTGTATATTTCGAAGAGCGTATGAGATACAATACAATTCCAAATGACTGCTATCAACACTTCGATTATCTATCTCACAACCCATATACCAGAATTCATTTACCAATTCAAAAGAACACATACCCAAAATCCCCAAATCCAATTCGAGAAAAGAACCCAGATGCAGAAAATATGAACAATATCACCTGATACGAATCAGATTCCGGCAAGCGTCCGCCAGAGTGCCACCGCTGGCGAACTCCAGAACCAAGAACCAAGTTGTAGAACTTCGAACTCTAGAACCAAGAACCAAGTTGTAGAACTTCTCGCCATTCTCGACTGAGTGATCGGCGGCGAAGCAGCGGATGATTTGTGGGCAGGAGCCGATTTGGTCGAGGACTTGCTTCTCGTTCTTGAGCGAATCAGAGTAGACGCCTTCACGGCCACCAGCGGCTGAAGATGAGAATATGGGTTGGTGGGTTTTGCTGTGTAGATGGTGACGAAGCTTCCCCGGCCGATTTCTTTACCGCGAATCCACTCCATGAATGTAGGGAATAAAGAACCATCGAGCAGCTAGAGAACCCAGAAGAAAACCCATTTAAGAAAACCCAGAAGAAAAATCCAGAGACCAAACAAAAGATAAGAACTATGAATACGCGGAAATGAAAGAAAGTAATGAAGAAAGATAGAAGCGGAAATCAACCACCAAGATCCATGAGCCTTGGTGGCTCTGATACCATATTAACTACATTGTAAAAGATGAAGAATTGGTACAAAGGAAGAGGAAGATGATAGAGAGAACCAGAAAGATTGTATTGATTAAAATGGATAAAATGTATACAAAAGAACTTAAAGAAATGATAGCTAAACAATCCCTTATAGCCATATAACCTAATTACAATAATACCCCTTTCTGTTATATCAGTTATTAGATTCATGGCCAGAAGGTATGGAGTGGAGGCGCATAAGTGGCAAAGATTATGACCATTGCAGATAAAAGGATAGACGGAATCCATTTGTTGATTGATTGAACTGAAATTTTGAGCGATATGGTTAAAGAAAAATGAAATAATTGAACTTAATTATATAAATGATGAGAGTTCAGCGACGCACACAAGGTAAATGACTTGAATATTGGTCCTTTTTTTTTTTATTTGCTGGTCATAGTTTTCGCCTTATTGGGTTATATAGAGAGGCTGGGATGAATTCTTCGCGTTGGGAGTACAATGGTAATTTCATGAATTTATAACACAGAATACAAATTGTACCAACAAAAAATGTCAAAAGAGTAGAGACCATTATGTTTTGATAATATCAAATCTATGCGTTTTGAGTATATATATATGGTAAATAAGTAACTAAAAATTGTAAATCCGAAATCAAAAGAGGAGAGACAACTTAATGCCTACGGATTTGCATGGAAAGTAAGAGTCATGGTGCATATCCTCAAAGAGGAGACAAAATTAAATGCATTTCTAAAAAGGAGCTATGACAAATACAATGTACGTATTCCTGGCTTTTTTGTGTGCTTCAATTTGTGAAAATAGTAGTGCTATTTTCATAAATTAATCATTTCTCTAAACCTAGCTAGCTAGGCAATTTGTATTACCCCTTTGGATGTATTATTTTTAGGGAGGTATATGATTTTTCGTGTTTACTGTCTTATGTTGTGACCTTTTCTTTTTCTTTATTTTCGAACCGAAGCAACAACAACAATTCATTAATAGGAAAACACGATTACAACATGATTACACGAATGGTACCAACTAGGTGCATCTCCTCCAGTGACCTAATTTTTTGTCTAGAGATAGTAGTCACTCAACGAGCAAACATATTAAATCCCCTACATGGCACCACAACAAACACACAAGAACATAAGAACCATCGATGCATTTCTGCCACAATAGATTAGCGGTGACATATCTAAAAATGAGGAGCACACAAGAATCAGTGCCACACACACTGTTAGGCGGCACAAACAAACACAAATTACAACTAAGCTGAGAAGGAAACCACCTTCGTCTTGTCTCTTTAGCAAAAAAGGACACACTCGTACTGACCATCTGTATCAAGATAAATCTGCAATAGCCATGACCCAAACAAGGGTTATATGTAACAAATATGGCTATGGAAGGCTATCTAGCTACAATATTGGTCATAGGTTTGTGTTTGGACCCGATTTTACACTATCGGCTCGTGCAATGAAGGGCGTTGATGAACATAGCTCTCAACCGTTGGATGGCAGAATAGTTAAGATAATTATTATTGAATGATATATTGTGGTTTTAATCATGATATTATATTTTGACGGTGAATTATCTTGATACTTTCTTGTACAAGATAGATGAGATGCAAACTATATTTCAAGCTTTGGGACTCTGTTTTGGCCCAAAATACTGGTTTGGGCTGAGTTCAGAATTGTTCTCGGCCCGGAAGCCTTGCTCAGGGGTCGCTGGGGGTCATTTGGTTCATGGGCCGCATAACCAAGGCCGCCCGTTTCCTATCAGGAAGTGGAATACTCCAGATAAAGAGGAAGTGGGTAAGTCCCATTGCGAGATGGACATATGGGGTAGTTGAATCCTAATACAAGAAGGAATCTCAGCAGGATGAGGATGCTGAAACTTGGGAATGAATGCGGCCTGATAAGGGGTGGAGTTCAAAGTCCTAATATGAGTAGGACTTGCCAAGATAAGATTGGATCGGGGTAAGGAGTCTTAATCCAAATATAGTTTTGATTCGATTAGAAGTAGGTTTGTTACTATAAATAGAGGGAGGAGTGCATCATTCAAGCTCCCTCCAATTCAACACACAAATTGCCCTGCACAAACTCTCTCAACAACCTTGAGATTTTTATTTTCTTTTTCCGCCAACACATCTTCAGTTTGGATAAACAGCACTGTGAAGGCAACCGGTGATACCTTCAGTTTGGATAAACAGCACTATCGCCGTAGAACCAGCCGACCACAGAACACTTTCAGTTTGGATAAACAACACTGCGTCGAGGCCGACTGGTTATTTATCCAAGTGTCGATCGAGAAAGACTTTCGGGTCTTTATTGGCAGATGTCATCTCATTAGCCTTTTCGACAAGGTAAGGTGTTACAGTTTACTGCACATTAAACGCCGAGTTGTTTTATGATTGGATACTTACAAGTAAGCTTTAGAGTTCGACATTCTGACGGCCGAACCACATTTACCATCAAAACATATATCTGTTTTGAGTATCTGTGTCCCTATACTCTGGTGTCGATTCGGCGTGTTTATACCCTTACAAATATAATCACTATGGCCGAATCTGGCGTCAACGGTTTGTGAACTTCGTAAAATTAGCAGCCTTGTCTTCAGGCTCTAGAACCCAAAGGTCGAGATGTGTTCCTTCCTCGGCCGCAGTCGCAAGATCGAGAAGTCAGTCGTGCACTCAACGCAACATCAACACATTTTACTCATCGGCCGAGCTCGACCGACGAGTTGGCACACCCCGCATCAACCGAAGGACGTAGTTAGCTCATTAGTTATTCGGGATACGCGCCACGTAGGCTTGGTAGTTTTTAGGGTCAATAGTCTGACATGGATCTACTCGATCGTTGAATTAAGATGGATCTGCAGCAGTCATGACCCAGTTCAGATCTTAGCATAAAAGGCAGCTTAGTCGTTGAACGGTCGAATAGCGCACAACCGCCATGAAAACCATATATAGAAAGCAGTTTCGACCCACCACAACCACAAAACCAACCCTAAACATCCGGATTTAATTGCAAATATGAGTGTAGAGATTCATTCAGGAATGAATTTTCATGAAAAGCGTGAAGGGTTGCTCACAAAATAGTGGGTAAAGGGATGAGAAAAGTGGCACGCAAAGCTTGAACAAAAAGGGGTAAAGAAGGAAGAAAAAATGTGGTCGCCGATCGTAAGCCACAACAAGGGGCTGACGATTGGAGTAGAAACAATTAGTTTAATAACAAGGGGAGGGAAGAGGTGAGTCGCAAGATGGCCTATTTATGACTTTCTCTAATAAAAGTTGGAATTATAATAGTTCGTGCTCACAGTCATACATTAAGATTCTCTTATAAATGGGATAATTAAGTGCAAATGTTTCGCGATAATGCCATATGACCGTGGAATCAAATTGAAGCCTAAATTTTGTTGTTTTTTATATGATTTTTTTTTTCTAGTAATCTGAATGTTTTAAGAAAAATGTTTGATTAGATAGGCATGTTTGAGTTCTGGTACCTAAAAGTTACCATGTCAATAGTTTCGTATATGGTATTTCCCACACTTCCACTACCATTTAAATAAGGAAACTTTAATGAAAAGGGTTTGAACTAAGTTTAGTTTAATAAAAAACCACCCTATATTATTATTTAACCAAAATGACTTCATATTTAATCATAAGAACAAAACTAATTTACATTAGATCCACAAACATTTAACACACATGGGCTGAACTAAAAGCCTAAAACGAAATGATTTTTTTTTACACCTTTGCCCCTAACAGCAATGCTATTCTGTCAGCCAATTCTGTTAGAAGTAAACTTTTCCTTATTTACAAATATGCCATTTTGTCAGCCAGTTCTTTCTCTCCTTTTTTCTTGTGGCCGTTCGTTCCCCCTTCAGGTTTTGGAATTTTTTTTTTCTTCTTGTCATCCGCCTTCCTCCTGAAAGGGAGGTAAAACTCATCGTGGCTAATGGAGAGTGGCCACCTCCTCAAACCATTTTGCACGTTTAAAGAAAATGGGAGCAATTGCTTCCCCAACTTTATTATTATATACATTTTAATATTATTTTATTAATTGATCACTTATTTGTGATTAGGTGGTTCAGATTCTTTTGTTGATCAATTCACCCTTAATTTTGCTTACCACTTAGAACCCACTTTCCTAGAATGCAGGAGCAACTTCTATTGGAAATTATCCCAGTTTCATTTTCAGTTTTTGAAACTTTGTAGATTTGCCAATGGGGTCTCAACTCTTGACGGATAAAACAATGGTCTTGTAGATTTGCCCGTAAAGCTTCGGTATTTTCACCGCCTCGGGTGTTTTCAACACCACCACCTTCTCCTTATTATCTGCCTTTACAGGAAGTGTTGCTCGTGGCTTTGTTCTGTCCCAGCAACAACCTAAAAACAAATCAACAAAAAATGCATTGATATCGTACTAACAATTTGATACTTTACATCTTCAAGAAAGAAAAAAAAAAGATCAAATAGCTACAATATTTCCCCAAGTAAACAAAATTATCAATTATAAACATTGAACACTAACTTTTTCTCGAATTGGATAGGGGTACCGTTACTATTTCTTAAATAGAACACTACTACTATTATTTCTTAAACTGAACAATGGCTCTATCACTATTTTTTAAACTAAACACTCACTATTTTTTAAACTGAACACTAGTACTATCACTATTCTTAAACTGAACATTAACTATTTCATAAACTGAGCACTGGTATTATCACTATTTCTTAAACTGAATACTCACTATTTTGTATACTGAACACGGGTATTATCATTATTTCTTAAACTTAATACTAATATTATTACTATTTGTTAAACTTAATACTGATTATTTTTTAAGCTAAACACTGACTATTTTTAGAATTAAACACATGTACTGTCACTATTTCTTAAACTAAACACTGATTATTTCTAGAACTGAAAAATGACTTTTTATTAAATTGAAAACTTGTTCTATCATTATTTTTTAAACTAAATACTAACCATTTTTTGAATTAAACAAGGGTACCATCACTATTTCTTAAATTGAGCATTGATGCTATCACTAATTTTTAAACTAAACACTATTTTTAGAATTGAACATGTGTATTATCACTATTTCTTAAACAGAACACTGCTATTATCACTATTTCTTAAACTTAACAATGACTATTTCTTAAACTGAAAATGAGTATTGTTGCTATTTCTGAAACTGAATACTAATACTATCATTATTTCTGAAACTGAATACTAGTACTATCCCTATTTTTTAAACTGAACACTGACTATTTCTAGAACTCAACACTGATACTTCACTATTTTTGTTGTAGTTTCATAAATAGTGTGAGTTATTTTGATTCAATTTAAAAAATAGTGTAGGTTATTTTGGTTAAATTTCTTAAATAATGCACAATTTTGTTGTAGTTCCAGAAATAGTGTGAATTATTTTGATTCAGTTTCATAAATAGTGTGAATTATTTTGGTTTAGTTTCAGATATAGTGTGAGTTATTTTGGTTCAATTTCAGAAATAGTTTGTAATTTTGCAGTAGTTCTAGAAATAGTGAGTTTTGGTTTAATTTCGTAAATAGTGGGTTATTTTGTTGTAGTTCCAGAAATAGTGTTTATGTTGCTCACTTCCAAAAATAATGTGGGTAATTTTGCTATAATTCTAGAAATATTATGAGTTGGTTTAGTCTCAAGAATAATGTTCGTTAATTTACTATAGTTTTAGATAGTGTTCATTTTGTTCATTTTCATAAATAGTGCGAGTTTATTTCGTTCAATTTCCAAAATAATGTAGGTTATTTTGTTGTAGTTTAAAAATAATGTTTATTTTGTTTCCTTCCAGAAATAGTGTGTTATTTTGGTTTAGTTTTCAAAAATAGTATGTGTCATCTTGCTGTAATTTCAAAAATAGTGCAGGTTATTTCAGCTCAGTTTTAAAAATAATGTTTGTTATTTTGCTGAAGTTTCAAAAACATTATTTATTTTGTTCATTTTCAGGAATAATGTGGGTTATTTTGCTGTAGCTCTAGAAATAATATGAGTTATTTTGGAACTGTTTCATAAATAATGTGGGTTATTCATCCACAAGTAACCAGAAGATTAATAACTTTTCTAACTTATCACTGTGACCATAACGCAAATAGATTTGTGATCAAAATTCCTCCTGGTCCACGACCAAAGTCTGAAGGGGTTGAATGCTTTGAACTAATTTCGACAAAAAAAATAAAAAATAAAGAATGCTTTGAACTGATAAGAATGAACATATTTGTTAAAGTAGGATAAGGATCAAACTTTTTAAATTGTCCATTATATCAACCATTCATCCACAAGCTTACCATTTGAACTCCAAAATAATTTCACTTATCATGTAAACAATTGGATATCAATTACCTTTTAAATGCTTAGACAAACACCATCCCCCAATCCAAACCACAACATAAGGGAAAAAGAAAGGTCTTAGTTACACAGTTCAAACACGGAAAGCTTTGTATGTGAGGCAATGCGAGTCGCCCAGGAAAAGGCTGATGCAACCTGCTCAGCTAAGCAATTTGCCAACAATCTTAAAAATGTAAAAACATTTGACTATTTTGTTTGCTTGTTTGTTCAGAATCAAGATTAGAATTCATAAGAACAATGTAATGCCATTCCCAAATACAACTTCCTGTAATGAAATTTGAAAACCATTTACTCGTCCTCCGACTCAAGGATTGAAATTTGAAAACCATAAGCCCCAATCCACTCATTCCATCAAGAAAACATCAAATATAGTATTATAATTCAATCGAATTAAAACTCATTAGGGATAGATCAACATTCACAAAGATAGAATCCCACATCAACAAGGAAAAGAGGTCAAACCATATGGAAATTGGATGATTATGATAAACTATTTAAGATGTATATGTACTAGAAAAAGTAATTAAAAGAAATTTTAAGAGATAATTAGATAATAAAAACTCATCCCTCATATTAAAAAGGAGGTGCCAAATGAAGCACCTAACAAATTGAAAAGCAAAAGCATGAAGAAATATCTCTGACCGTTTGTTCAAGCTCTTGACCTCCTCGTTTGTCATTTGCCCTCCAAGCCTAGCAGCTCCAGCTTCCGATTGCCGGAGTCTTCACCTTCATCGTTAATTTGATTGGAGAAATTCAATAACAAAATAAAGAAACCGTGAATTGAAATCAGGAACGAAATCAGAAATATGCAAATCTTTCAAACAAGAAACCGAAACGAGAGGAAAGCATACCATTTGACATGAGAAACTGAGCTCCAAAGGCTCAATACTGAGCCGCTTGCCCGTGCTTATCGAATTCGATGATTCAATTGATTTGTGAACCGGTGGAATTCGAGTAGAAAATGAAAAAGAGATTGGGTGGAGAGAGAGAGAGAGAGAGAGAGAGAGAGAGAGAGAGAGAGAGATTGCAAAAATGGAGGAAGTGAAATTGAATTGAAAATAAAAGCAATAGCAGAGAAAAGATGGGGGATTGAAAATTTGAGATATTAAACGGGGAAGGGCATGCCGTAAGAGTAAAATTGAAAATTCATTGTTTGGACCATTTTGATTGAATTGATTTAATGTTGGGTTTTGTCTTAACCATTAAATAAAATTACTATATGGTTTTTAGTTAACATTTAACATTTAAAGTTTTCAAATCTTTTTCATTAGTTTTCCTTTTAAATAAGGTCAAGTTTTAGCAATATTGTAGGCCGGGTCGGCCCAATAAAGCCCAATTCAAAATTTTTTGACACAATGGAGCCCGGTAATAAGATAAGGAAGGAGCTTTTTTTTTTTTTTTTTGTTAAATAATATATATTGTTAGATTAACCACCGACAAAGTTTGAACTCACAGTGTCATGCATGCAAGGAGCTTCTTGAGACAATGTTTAAGTGGAAAACAACTTGTCAATGGTTACACTCATTTTTAGTAACACACTCTATATTAATATTTGTCTTTTGATATTCTTTAATTTAGATATGACGGTCACAAATTAAAAAGAATGTCTAAAAATAAAATGAAGTGTGTTGATATTATCACTCTTTGTTAGATCAACATCGGTCAACGTCATACATGGATGTACACGTGTCCAAGAAACAAAAAATGTTATAAATACCGTAATAAGTAACATATCTGACCTTAATGTACTTAGCTTTTGCATGGTTACTCATATATATCTCGTGACACAAACTTTTCTGCAAAGACTCTGCTAGATTTGGTCATTAGTAGTCTTCATATTGTATTCGGTTAGGTGAGTCTCCGTCTTAAATTGGATTTCGAAAAGTTGCGCTAACTCTAACTTAATGATATTAGGGCTCGTTTGTTTGGATTCACTAAATTTTATTGGACTAGATTGAACTAACTGTTAGTGTAGTCTAGCGTTTGTTAATATTAATGAGATTAGCTGGACTCGCCTAGACTAACAGCATCGTCGCTAGCAGTTCTTAGCGAGAGTCCTCGAAAACCACGAGACTAGCTAAGCCCTGCTTCATCCTACTCCCGTTGCTCTGCTGGCGTCCTCTTTGCAATCACAGCTTCATCTTCTATGCGACCACAACTTCATCTTCTCTGAAACCATAACGTCCTCTCTGTACACATCTGCACATCTTTGCAAATCCACTCGAATCACAAAACCCAGATTCGCTGAGATTGCAAAACTCATATTCGAATTGCAAAACCTACACACAATTTGCAAATCCTAGATTCGAATTGCAAACCTAGATTCGAATTGCAAAACCAAGTTCGTTCAAAACTTTGCAAAACCCAGGTTTGATAGGAAAATTTTGTGGCCTCAAATCCAAAAGGAAATAATCAAAACCAAGGGTGCTCTGCAAACCAAATTCCTTCTGCAACTTTCGAGAGAGAGATGGAGGTTAGGGAAATTTTGGGGCACGAATTTTTTTTATTTTTTATTTTGGATCCATTTGGTGCACAATTATTTATGTACAAAGTTCCTTTATTTTAGTTATTAGTTTGACACTGCACTAAACGCTAAACCAAATTAGTCCAGCTTAGTTTAGTCTAAGCCAGTCCAGCTTAGTCCCTAAAGTTAGTCCAGTCCGAGATAGTCCGATGCAACAAACGCACCCTTAAATGATTGGACTTTCGAAAAGTTGTGTTAACTCTAGTCCCTAAATGATAATTGAGCTCTCAAAAAGTTGGGTTAGCTATAATGACGTGATTAGTTCTCAATGTGAAAATTGGTTTCCCTTGTGATCTTATGTAGGGCCACTCGTGAAGGTGCGTGTTGGAGAATAAAACCTCACATCGATCATATGACAAATTGTATACAATTAATATATGGAAGTTTTCACTCCTAATATCTCTGAGGTCTTTTGTGATAAAATCTAACACCTTGTAATAAATGATTAAATTAGGACAATATCAATGACATTGGGATGCACTATGCTGAGCATGAAAAAGTTTATCATGGTTAGGCATGCTTTAGCCCTTCGTGTTAGCAATCAAATTCAACAGTACAAATGTTCCCATAACTTAGTCCAATAAAGCGTATGAAGTCGTCCGATTATGCTCTAACTTGCCCGATTTCACTTTTAAAACTCTTAAGTCTTTAATCATTCAGTCTCTGAGTAGTCATACCCTTCTCTTTCCATTTCTTTTGCTCTTTTACAAGTTTAGCATTTATTTCAGAACCAAGACTTGAATAAGTATTGTAGATAAAGTAAGGTCAAGTGTATTCGGTTTATAGTTATTATTTGGTATACACAAAGAGTATAATAAAGTCCTTAACAAGGCAGAAAAAATAATCAAGAATGAACCAGTATCTCATTTATGACACAATTTTCTCATTTTAAAAAGTGCAATATAACTATTTAGAAGTGCTAATAACAATTATCTCTCGTATATCTTTTAACATTTCACATATCTCTCATTTGGTAGCTGAACAACAAAAGGTAAAAAAACTTGAATGAATAATTGAAGGCTTTACATGGGGCATATAACATGGCTTATTAGTAAACCTCATCTTAATTGTACAAAGAATACCATTGGAAGCTAAGTCCCTAGATCTCAAAACAAGCATGTCAACTATCTATCGCTTCTGTTCTCCCCACGTCTTGCTCTCGAAAAATTCATTCAGCATCGACTCAATGGTCTCAGGGCGAAGCTTTATATACTTCCCCGGGTTTTTTCCGTTCTCGATCATAGGCCTGCAACACAATGCATGCTAATGGTGATGCAAGAAATGCAAAAAATATGAATCATTGTCAAGGGAAATGTTTGAAAATATGAGAAAACATACCCGAAACGTTTGATGAATGATCTGTAAGCAGGCAAGAGGACTTCAGCAACAGCTAGCCTTAAAGACTCTCGCAATTCGCTGTCAGGAACTGTCCACTGAGATTGCCTTTGATGAAGCTCCTCAAATTGCACGTTGAAAGTCTTGAATCGATCTTTCACCATTGCTCTTGAAAGTGAACTGCTATCACCACCTGATGGATTTCCGCTGCCCTGAACGGTAAGACACTGCAGAATCTGCACCACAAACATAAAATAAAAACACCGGAGCAGATGAGAATGATTTCAACTAATGTCCCCAGTAGAGGGAAGAATTCGCGCGTTATAATTTTAGATTTAAATTATTGAAAAATTGAGCCCATTTACTCCTGTTATAGATGATAAAGATGTTGCCATACTTCAACACCTTCTTATGATATATTCGAAACATATGAATACCATAATCATCTATAATGTATTAAGAATAGACAGATTAAAAAATAGTCGAGACCAGGAGGATGGGGGAGTGGATCAAGGCCACATGATCAAGTGTCCTGAGGAAAATATGAAACGGATATACTGAAATTTTGAAATAAAAGGGTAAATTAGGGCAATGGATAAAAGGAAAACATGACCAGCACAAACAAATCCCTTGTGGTCACTATCTAACAAGAATTCAGAACGAGGGAATAAGGCAGCACTAGAAGAAAACAGAAAGAATATGGTGGAGAAATAGTATGATCAAAGAATCAAAACCTTTGCCCAAGAAACCCTCTTATACTGATTTGCATGCTGCTGTACGATCCTTCGGTGTATCTGCACCCAGTCATCCCCCAACAAATCCTTTGCTTCTGACCTGTATATAATTTCTTATCAGCTAATACAGTATCAGCATGCAGATAGGATCAGTATCTTTTAAAGAGCAGATTACTGTAAAACAAACCTCCGCACAGATCTCACTATATAGTGAATGTTGTTCATAAGAAATAATTGAGTGAGTGCAGGATCTTTATACTGCTTAGATTTTCCATCCAGGTTGTTCTGAAGGGCCTGCATAATCCTTGTAGTAACATTTGTTAACTGAGATTCCGGCTCACCATCAAACTCTTGAAAAAGTTGCTTCAGAGTGGATTGATAACTGTGAACATCAAAAACAGTCATATGGTGATGTTTGCACGGTTACTGTTAAAAAAGGCCCAGAAAAATAGAAAGAAAACCAAACTTGCAATTGGGGGAAAGGAAGAAATACAAAAAGGCAAATAACTTCGCTGATAGAGATCTTGATAAATTAAGGGCTTTCACATATAAGCCCTTGATAACATCACACTTTAGAGACACTTCAAACTCGAAACTTTAGAGAAAAAACCAACTTAGTTTGTAACATCAAAATGATTTCACAACTAAGAATCAATTAGCGCATGACAAGTGGATGGATGAAGCTCTTAAAGCCAGCTTAGTTTGTAACATCAAAATAGTTGTCCGGAAGTTTTTTCCGGTTTACTAATAAATAAATATTAGCCTCATAACCAGCCAACATGGAAACAAACAATCCAAGTAACTAACAATTCAACAAAGCAGAGAATTTACCAAAAGCTATAGGGGCAAAAATATGATACAGTATATCGGATCGCCCCCAAAGACATCAGTAATCACGAATACTTCGAAGTTATTATATTTGCAATCACCTCAGATGGGGAACAAAATAGCAAGAAGCAGAAAGCACAGGAATAACTACTTACTCGAAGAGAAACTTTACATAGTTTATCACATAGCTTGTCAAAGGATGGACGGTTCCATCAAGAACAGCAGTTTTGGTGGCATCCTTTTCAACAGCTTCTTCAAAATCACCAAAAGTTTCCTGCGCTGTTTGAGCTAGACGCTTTGTCAAACTTAATGCAGATTCCCGCATTTCCATGCAAGCTTTACTTCCAAAAAGGAATTCAATCTGAAATTAAGATCTAAGAATTATATTTTAAACCATTTATCATCTTCTTAAAAGTATTAAACCAACATTTGAAGAACATATAAAGATAAAAACGATAACTAAACTAACATTTTGACCTTCAACATTCTTCAAGAATTCTAGTTTCCTTGCAATGTAAATTTCTATGAAAACTCTGTTTGACATTATTACACTTACGCCCATGTTACTACTTTTCTACCTTATGGCCTTCAAATTACTCCAG